CAATTTCAGCAACTGCCTAGGAGGTCATTCAAGGACCTGAACTCCTGTCAGGACTCTGGCAAGCCCGGGGGTCTGCCCCAGCATTTTCCCTGTCGTTCCTCCTGGCCCTGGCTGTTTTTCTGTCACCCCAAAGGCCGACACCCACAGTCCCTTGAATTCTCATTTCTAAGGTGAGGGCATTTGCTGGGTTGAATTAATCACTGTCCAGCATGGAACCCTGATGGGTACCATAGATTCAAGGATCAGCTACCTAATTTATGGGGCCCAGTACAAAATGCAAATGTGGCTCCCTTGTTAAAAAATTATTAACACTTTCAAGACAGCAAAAGCAGAGCATTATACCAAATGCAGGCCCTTTTGAGTGCAGGCCCAGGGCGACTGCCTTGCTTGCATGCCTGAGCAGCTGGTCCAGGCTGGTTCCGGTGCAGAAGCCAGGACCATCCATCATCTGGGCCAGGAAGGCCACAAGATATGAAGTCCCTTTAGGAGACCACCCAGCTGCCTTTTCAGGCCTGCCACTACCCACTGTTTTCTTGAGAGCTCACTGATGGGGTATGGCACAGTGAGAGTGAGAAACTGGGGAACAAATTTAATTGTAGGTAAAGCAGGGCCAAATCAAGAAAGGAAGCTTTGAAAAACAGTCTTTTCATGGAATCAACCTAAATGCCCACCAACAGCAGACTGAATAAAGAAAATGTGGTACATAATCACCATGGAATGCTATGTAGCCATTAAAAAGGAGATCAGGTCCTTTGCAGGAATGTGGATGGAGCTGAAGGCCATTATCCTTAGCAAACTAACGCAGAAACAGAAAGCCAAACACCGCATGTTTTCATAAGTGGGGGCTAAATAATGAGAATCAATAGGCACAAAGAGGGGAAAAGCAGACACTGGGGCCTACTTCAGGGAGGAAGGTGATGGAGGGAGGGGATCAGGAGAAATAACTGTTGGGTACTAGGCTTAGTACCTGAGTGATGAAATGATCTGTACACCAAACTCCTGTGACAACAGTGTCCCTCTATTAACAAACCTGCACATGAACTCCTGAACCTAGAGTTTTTGTTTTTTTTTTTAAAGAAAAACAGTCTTTCTAGAGCCTAATGGATTATTGCTGGATGATGCCTAAATTATCCAAACGATTTCATGCAAAGATCTGGGAAATAGCTTAATGAAAGAGCCCCAGGTCTGACTATAAGTTGGGGACACAGGTGAGCAAAATTCCTGGCTCCAGACCTCTTTTTCTTTAACCAAAAGTTCTGAACTGCCCTCACCTTTTGGGTGCTCTCACTTTGCCACCGACAAAGCATGAGTGAGGAGCCCACTAGGTTAGCTGCTCAGTTCAAGCCTGGCTGGCCAGAATCCCAGGGAGGCTGTGTTTTCCTCACATAAACTGCTACCTAGCACTTTGGGCAGCCCAGGTATGCAGAATCACTTTCAAGCAAAAGATCACATGTACTGAGAATCTTCAGAGTTCAGAGCTAACAATCAGCCAGTGATTCAAACTTTCTAAAAGGAATTGAGCGCCCCCTGCTGGGTATTGTAGCATTGACATTAAACCATCCTCTCAAATGCACCAAAATCTGAAACTACAGAGATTTAATCTCGTATAAAATCCGGTGACAACAGGACTCATGGTGACATTATATATGAGTTTGATAAAAGGTTGAATCTTTAAATGTTTCATGACTCCCATGCTCCTATTAAAAATGCTTCTAGCTCTTTGTCTCAATTTTAGAAACAAGGTACATACTTTAAAGTTCTAAGTATTCTGGTAGGATTTTCCTCCCATGTCGCAGAAAGTTTTACAGGAAACGTAACAGGTCCAGGGAGAGGACATGGGTTTTGGGATCAGACATCCTAGGTTGGAATCCATTTACTATTTGAATGACTTGGAATAAGTCTATTTTTTTTTTTTTTTTCAGACGGAGTCTCACTCTGTCGCCCAGGCTGGAGTGCAGTGGCACTGTGTCAGCTCACTGCAACCTCTGTTTCCTGGGTTCAAGCAAATCTCCTGCCTCAGCGTCCCAAGTAACTGGGATTACAGGTGCCCACCACCATGCCCGGCTAGTTTTTTGTTTTTGTTTTTAATACACCTTTAGTAGAGACGGGGTTTCATCATGTTGCCAAGGCTGGTCTCAAACTCCTGACCTCAGGTGATCTGCCCACCTCGGCCTCCCAAAGTGTTGGAATTACAGGCATGAGCCACCATGTCCAGCCTGGAATAAGTCTTCTAACGTTAACTTGGAACAAGTCATTTAAGTCACCATCTCCTGATCAACGAGGACAATGCTATCCATTTAAAAAGTGAATGTCAGGGCTGGAACTCATGTGTTTAAAGTGCATAGAAGTGCTTGATTAACCATCGTGTCATTGTTACTATACTATTACAATGTGAGTCTAAGTTGGGCTTCGAAGGATGGGTAGCCCCTGGACTCAGACCCTGTTTCCAGAGAATAGGGCCTGTACCTTTAGTCCTGTGTCTAGCTCAGAAATCTAACCCCTGGGTCATGAGGGTAGTGCTCACACTGTGCAAGTCTGGACAATTCCACCTTGAACAAACATTTCAAGTCTTTCTACTTCTACCTGTCTTGCCAATCCAAACTACCATCATCTCTCACTTGAGCCAATGCAAAGCTCTTCTAATTTGTCTTTCTACTTCTATTCTTACCTCCAAAGGGATACACACACACACACACACACACACACACACACATATATATTTAAATCCAATCTGATCAGGCCACTCTCTCTAGTTAGAACCTTTCAATGACTTAGAAAAACATTTTTTAACCAGACATCTGCCTACCCACTTTGCTTATAATGCCAGTTCTACCTCCTGGCTTTATGCAGTTAGCTCTCTCTGTAAGCAATCCTCATCTCCCAATTCTTTCCCTTATTACTACTACTCATCCTTCAGGTGTTGGCTCACAAGCTCAAGGAGGGTACAAGAGATAGCATATTTCTTTTCTTCAGAGCAAATTAAGTCCATTTGGCCTCACTCTGCTGCACTGCAAACAGAAATCAATTCTGTGGTTACTGGGGTGTCCCTTCCCCTTCTTAGGGTCTTGCAAGCATTTAGGACACTCATGAATGACCTGGAAAAACGGGTAACGACCTCTACTCTTCAGGCTATCTGGGTCGTTGCTATTATCTTCACTGCCAAGTCTGAGGGGGCCCTTGTAGGAGGGGGCTCCAAGCTTGGAGGTTTTGGCCTTGTCTGGAAGACTCAGTGTTGAGGTGCAGGTTTCCTCTGGAGCACCCAACAAACCATGAAACTCTGAAGTTCACCATCTCACTGTGGTACCGAGTGGCACACAGCTTTCCACTCCTCCTTAGAGGCTCCTGTCTGCAGACCCTCTTCTCTCCCACCCTCCCCTGCTCCCCAAACAAGCGCTAGGGTTACTGTTAAGCATGTCTGCTTCCTGCTGTGCAACAGGAAGCACACAGGACCTGGTTACTTCTTGGAGAGTGGAAAAAAAAATCAGAGACAAAATTAGTATTTCAAATTATGTGCTATAAAAGCTGCCAATCACAAGGTCTCCCCTGGATTATTCAATATAAATCAGATCCCCTCCAGTCACACTATCCTATACTGCAGTAGCACTGTCAGTACCCATCCCCCCAGCTACTGTGCATTGGCCGTCAAAGGCTCACAGCTGTAGTATACTCTGCAGAGGCGTGTTGCCTGGCAATGCCTGGGAGGTTACGCTGTCACTGGGGGATTGTGGGAGGGGCCAAGCCAATGACTGACCAATTCATACTCAGTACAAGGGCCTAACCACTTGCCTCAAGGTGAGAAAACTCTTGGTGTCATCATGGTCCAGAAATCCCATCGGATCAGACTGAAGCTACACTTTCAGCTCAAACCACATCTTGGCTCAGCTTCTTTCCCTGCCCTATCCTGTTTACCTCACAGGACTCTTCTGAAAGCACCTCAATAAATCACTTGCACAAGAAATCTCTGCCTCAGGCTTGGTTTCTGGGAACCCAACCTAAGTCACATCTTCTATTTCTCCTTCCTAGCGTATGCCCCAAATTGAAATTATGTGTTTGTATGGCTAATGGTTTAATGCCTGTCTCCCCAAATAAAGGCTCCACGAAGGGAGAAGCCGTACTTACTTTGTTCACTGCTATATTCCCAGTGCCAGCCATGGTGCCTCCCACAGAGAAAAGCAATATGCAGGCTCTAAACTGGAAAGCTGGCAGGAACCAATAGGCCACACAGCCTCTCGGCCTCCCTCTCCAGATACTTCCCTTTTTGGGTGTTTTGGTAGAGACAATTGAAGAAAGCTACCCTGTAACAGCAACTTAGCATTTCTTGTGCCCATCATCCTCAAGCCAGTCCTAGACAAAGATTTCGAAGCCCTAGTTGACAAAAATCTGACTAGCCCAGATTAGGTCACCTAATTCCTGATACAATGAGTTTATGAACTTGCCCAGAGGCTATTCCTGGGGGTGGGGGCAGTTCTCAGATGAGTGTCATAGACACAAACCAACAGCTGTATTCCAGACATCATATTCTGGTTCAGCAGAAATCAAGAATAGCTTTCATATTTTACTGGTCTACTAATATTCCAGGGAAAGGCTAGGCAGGATTCACATGAACATTTGTCAAGTTCTTAGATGTGTCTCAGAGATTACATACCACAAGCAAGCTGTAAAATCCTCATTTAACAAGAATGTGAAAGAACTGTGGCATTCTAGGTACTTTAATTTTTTGAAAAGCTTTTTCTCTTGTATAATTTTTTTGAAATATTGTAATTCTCTTTTCTATTAGGTTGTCTTTCTTTGCTTATTGAAGGGACTGGGGTCTTTATTCTGAAGATCAATGATTTCGAGGTAGAACTACTGATGCAAAGAGAAGAAATCAGCCTGGATGTGTTTGGATTATAGGATAGCTGCTAAAATCATGTTTGTGATTGAAAACCTAAAATAAGCTAATTTGTTTTTTCACGTACCTCTTCCTCCTAAAAGCTAAGTAAACAAAAAGACCCAGCATAAAAAGGATGAGAAGAGATTTTAGTTATTCAGTGTTTTCAGAGTTTCAACAAGGGATACAGATACAGGCAGCCAGGGCTGCTTCTTACAGCGTTTACAATCTGGGGAGAGCACACGAAATACACTGTTTAACAGGCAAATAATTCCAGGAAATATACACAAATGTGTTTTTCAAAATACAGGTTCTTATACAAATGTGTAACTAAATACTGATTCCATAGTGGGGTGGTTATAACTGAAAGGGCTTTGAGAAAATAAGAAATGCCACTACTGAATAAAACTAATGGTCCACCTAGCCAAAGATCCTTTCCAGCAGCACAAAAGGAAGTTGTAGGGAGAACAGAGGTAACTGTCAGATATCTTTCTAATCTGTAAATTTATCCAAAGTTTGAAAATACCATGAAGAATCTTAGGAATGCCAGTAACCAGGGAATGGAATATTTGCATATCACAACACCTACAGGCTAAATACACTCCGAATGCTTCTCAATGTGGGGAAGTATGAGAAGTTAGTAATTCTCCCAGTATCTGGCTTCCTTTTTCCTTTGCCTTTCCCTCTCATACATTCAATCCCATGTGTTACAGGACACACATGAGTAGTTGGAAGGTGTTAAACTTTGACAGTAAAGCAAAATCAGAAGTAAAGGCAAATGTTTAACCAGTCTTGTTCAAATACAAGCTACTCAATGAAGAGTTTTAGGTTTAAAGAGCCAAATATTCACCATTACTGAGAAATCTCAGTTTCTCATTCTGGTGAACATTTTCACATCGCACTTTGCTACCACAAACTAAATGGGTATACATTTTTGAGTGCTGATTTATTACTCAAAGATTTGATTTAGGAGACTGAAACAAAACATGCTTTATCTGTGTGCTTTTACAAAATCCATATACAAGAAAGGAGCCAAGTGTCAGTTTCCAATGGGGGGAACATTCTCATGGAGGTACTGTAAGGCTAAGTCTGTCCACTTCATTTCTTGTTCTTTGACAGATTCTGTGGTGCCACCATTGTCTTGTTCAGGTTCAGGAAGCTCATTCTGAAAAGGTACAATAGAAATTCAGAACAGTAATATATTCTGTATCTTCTTGGAACTCAAGAACACTTAGAATTAAAGCTTGTGAGTTCCTAGGAACAGGCAACATAACTGATATGTGTATTCTAAAAAAGCTAAAATCATACACGTGAGGAAACGATCAGAAGTATCACTCAAACATGGCCTGGGCCTTCTTCAATAGGGAGTGATGGGCATTTTGACTCTGACATTTGTGAAGGAGGCACCGTGGCAGAAGGGTTAAGGGCAGAGGCTTTTGGAAGCCAACTAGGATCCAAGACCACAACTCTCCCATTTGCTGGGTTACTTGGGCAAGGTTTGCAAACCCTTGGGGCCTTTGTTTCCTCCTTGGCAAATGGGAGAAAAAAAGAGCCATCACCTCACAAGACTACTGTAAGGATTAGGTGAGGTTAGATGAAGTGCTGAGCACTATGTGGGGTACCTGGTGCTCAAGGAATATTTGCTATTATTATAAGGGGTTAGGAACACTGAGATGAGCCAATCCTAAATCTTCTTTTGGGGGAGCGTGCTTTAAAAGAATACTAGTTTGCTGGCATATTCCTTAGACGCAAGAAATGTATCCAAAAATGACCTTGGACCCAACATGTCTTTTTTTTTTTTTTTTTGAGATGGAATTTCGCTTTTGTTGCCCAGGCTGGAGTGCAATGGCGTGATCTCGGCTCACCACAACCTCTGTCTCCTGGGTTCAAGTGATTCTCCTGCCTCAGCCTCCCAAGTAGCTGGGATTACAGGCATGCACCACCACTCCCAGCTAATTTTGTATTTTTTTTTTTTTTTTAGTATAGATGGGGTTTCTCCATGTTGGTCAGGCTGCTCTCGAACTCTCGACTTCAGGTGATCCACCCGCCTCGGCCTCCCAAAGTGCTGAGATTACAGGCGCAAGCCACTGCGCCTGGCCCAACATGTCTATATTATAATAAAAATGGAGGTAGGGCAAGAAACACTGAAAATGTAACTAGTAGATGATACCTCCCCCTAGTGGTGGAGCAGGGCAACAAAAACCCCAACAAATGACCAATTCACACCCTACCAGTAATTTTCATAAAACGGTAAGTCATGGGCCACACTTAGTATAGGATCTGGGATCATTTACTTGTATTTCAAATTTAAATGTATTACTACTGAAACTCTGCTTTGTACCAGAGTTCACAGATACCAACATATTTCTTTTCGATTATCTTAATTTATGTTTTGTTTTATGCTTAGCAAACTGTTATGCAATATCCAGACTTAAAATTTTCCACTGGATTCTAATTTGTAGTATGTGAATATGTTTTCCCCTCTAAAATTATGCTCAATATATATTAAATGATATTTACTTATCTATATTTGAATCACATACATCTTGTTCTACAAGACAGATTCAAACATACTTGAACAGATTGAAAAGAGCTATCATTTACTGTAAAGCAATCAGTCCTAATAATTACATATAGATAACAAAGAATAAATAGTATCCTTAGTTAATGAATTATTTAATTCAGAAGCAGACAACTTTGCTTAATTTCATCCTATCTGTGGTATGCTTTCTAAAATAATGTGTCTTTCGTTTGGTATCTATCGTCCCGTTCAATACATGCCAACACATCAAATCGCATATATGCCTGGAAAACAAAAACAAAAGTGTCATAAACCCAGCCATCCATTATGGTGTACCGTAAAATGCCCTTAGTTCTTTGCAGCTACTCTTATCAAAAGGTGAAACTGATTTCCCCAATCTTGGATTTGGATTGGCCCTGGGAGTTATTTTGGCCAACAGAATGAAGCTGTCATGCCAGTGGGCTAGTTCTTGGCCTAAGCTCCACGAAGCTCTGTGGTCTCCTCTCAGGTTGCTCTTGGAACCCTGAGACTGCGAAGTCCGGGCTAGCCTGCTGGATACCAGAGACCATGGCATAGTCACCCCATCACCCAGCGGACAGCTTGTTAACTGCCAGACATGTGAGACAGTCCTCGATTACCCAGCCTCCAGACAGTCTGTTGGCTGACTGCACAACACAAGCAAGCCTGGCAGGGATCAGCTGAACTAGCACAGACTAGAAGTCCCTCCCAGCTGAGCTACGAAATCATGAAATAAACAGTTGCTCTTTTAAGTCACTAAGCTTTGGGGTGATTTGTTATGCAGCAAATCCTAACTGGCATACACACTGCCTTAGAATGACAGGACAAGTGAAAGGTATGGATTAGCAGCAGGGCCAAGCCAACTTCGCGTAGAAGTCAGCAGGGAAACTTCCCTCTCCTTCATCCCCTGCCACACAAATGTTCTCCAATCTGAGCCATAACATTCTCCAGAAATGGACGTCTCCTTTATTTTCTTGACTTTGTTCAGGCCCTCCTCCCTTGCCTAGACCACCACAATAGCTTGCCAATTCGTCTCATTTGCCCCTTTTTCCATATCACACCATCTCTAACAATGCTGCTAAACTGATTTTCCAAAAGCCAAATCTGAGCATAGCAGTCTTGCTTTTAAGATCATTCATTCCTGGATCTCCTGAGGATGAGGTCTAAGTGTGGTATCAAATACCTCTCTCAGTCTGATCCAAGCCCAACTTTTCAGCCTACTTACGTGACAAACGTATTCTTCATCCACAGTGAATGACTCACCATGTCCCAAAACCTTTCAAACCTCTGGGCCTTTACACATCTATCCCCTCTGCAGCAGTACCCTTGTCTATCTCCACTAAACTTCTGGTCCTTCCTTATGACCCAGCTTAAACATGACATTCTCTCAGAAGCCTTTCTGATGCCCACCAGGCAATCAGTCACTTCCTATATGATGTGGCTGTTTATGCCCCCACCTAGAATATTATCACAATTACTTATCTATAAGTGTTGCCTTTCTAGACTCCTCAAAGAGCAGGAACTGTATCTTATGTTCACATAGTCTTATGGCACACAGTAGGCTTCAAAAAATGCTTGTGGAATGAATGAACAAAAGTTCACAAGACAGGATCTGGAACTTCACAGACCTAAGTATATGTTATATGAAGCCCTACTTATCTGCTACCAGACTTTGGGCAAGTTCCCCTTTCTGATCCTATTCTTTTCCTATAAAATGGGACTAAGAGCACCTCCCTCACAAGGTTGTTTAAGAATTAGAGATAATGTATATTTCCAACCTCAGTCCATGACATAAAACTGGTATTCAATAAATGACATCTATAATTCTTATTATGCTCTTTCTTTTGACTATTTTCCTAAGCTTGAACTAAGCTATGACTTGTTATTTGATATGTATATTATTCACTGAACATATTACTATCTCTTATGCGTAAATGAAAATACAGATGAACTATTTTATTTCTTTGTAAACAGCAGCAGCAGATATTCTAACTATAAATTATATTTTATTTAATACTAACTACTCTTCTCAGGGCAGCTGGCATGCTTTAAAGAAAACAGTCCAATTTTCCCTTTTTTAGGCCTCTATGACATAAATAGGATTGTAAATAAACATTTATATAAGCAAACCTTTAGGATCACTTATTACATGAGGTTTAACAAACTCCCTGCAGCAGAGTTTTCCAAAGATAGGGAAGAAAAGCGTATTCTAGAAGGCCGCTGGCCTAAACGCAAAAGAATACCCAGGTATATTCTGAATATTTTCCAGGGAACACAAGATAGGTGTATGTTCCAAGAATGTGAGTTTCTAAAAATGCCAAAAGACTGATGAGCCACAGGCAGGGAAGTTAGAAACAGAGCTCATATGCTGCTGCTTCTCGTTCCTCCCCATCTTGTGCATTAAACTCTCATTATTTGGTTTTTCTGGTTTTCATGTGGTAGACAGAAAATGGCTCAGAAAATCTGGGCTCTAGTCCTGGCATGACTCCTAACTGACCTGGCCATGCTAGCTCCCTGAACCACATTTTTCTTCAAATGAAACATACAACTAGATGCTCTCCAGAGGCTTCTAGAGTCAGAGAATTCCACAGCTTTGATTTCTTTGCTACATTAGTTTATCTTCCATTGATATCCCTCCTCCACTAGTTACTGCCAGATCAATACCTTTAACCCACCCTCAGCTCAAATCATAACCTACCAGTGGTATTGCGACATCCTCATAAGGCAGCTTGTCTTCTCGCCAAGCATCATCAATCAAATCCAAGATCCTTCCATCTCTCTGAACCTCACTGTCCATTTTCCTGCAGCTTTGATCTTATCAAATCTGTAAGCCAAAGAGGTTATTTCTTAAACACAATGACTGAAGCGATGGTATAATCCACTATAAGGATTCTCCAGGCTTTATAGTCTTTATAGTCTGGGGCTACCTTTTGGGAAAAGGTTCATTTTCTCATATGGGCTGGGTGACTACTTTGATCATACTTCCTCTCTACAACCCCAGCTGATACATATTTTATAGTGTATACTGGACAGGCATGGCCAGTTGACAGACCAGTGTCATAGAGTGTGACAGGAGAGAAACACGTTCTTAAATGAGGCCCTCAAATATTAACATGTTGCATCTCAATGTAGCTCTTCTCTCCTAACTAGAACATTCACCTTTTCCCGTTTGTGATGCCTTTGATGAGTCCCTGATTCATAATGGCCTGCTAAGTTTCCTTTCTAGCCCCTGGCTCAAACCTCAGCATTCTTAGGCACAGGAGTCACATGAACATACTGTAAAGGAAACGGCTTCCTTCCCTAAAATAGTACCCAGGCTGCGATCTGAACAAAGCACTTCTAGGTGAACACCAGTGGTAGAACCTCATACTGCTGGTTTCTCCAGTTTCTGCTTCCCTTTGGGATAGCTCCTTCCTTGGAGGTTCCTTCCTCTAATTCTTAATGCTGCACTCCCTTTAATTTCTGGCCCAAATGGCCAGGATACTTATTTAGCTCCTTGACCATGGCTGATTCCCCATTTTTCTCTGAAGCTGCCATAAAAACCCCAACAAATGACCAATTCACATCCTACCAGTAATTTTCTTAAAATGGTAAGTCATGGGCCACACTTAGTGTAGGATCTGGGATCATTTACTTGTATTTTAAATTTAAATGTATTACTACTGAACTCTGCTTTGTACTAGAGTTCACAGATACCAATATATTTCTTTTCAATTATCTTAATTTATGTTTTGTTTTATGCTTAGCAAACTGTTATGCAATATCCAGACTTAAAATTTTCCACTGGATTCTAATTCGTAGTATGTGAACATGTTTTCCCCTCTAAAATTATGCTCAATATATATTAAATGATATTTACCTATCTATATTTGAATCACATACATCTTGTTCTACAAGACAGATTCAAACATACTTGAACAGATTGAAAAGAGCTATCATTTATTGTAAAGCAGTAATATATTATCTTAAACTTAAAAAGAAAGTTCAGTCTTAATAATTACTTATAGATAACAAAGAATAAATAGGTCCTTAGTTAATGAATTATTTAATTCAGAAGCAGACAACCTTGCTTAATTTCATACTATCTGTGGTATGCTTTCTAATCCAAAAGGCTGGCTAGCTTGGAGGATACTTTTGGATTCCCTGTTTCCAAGGTTGGGCCCTGATTCATCATAGGCGTCATCCTATGGGTGCTCCCTGCTACAAAGTCACAATCCAAAAAGCCCAGAAGCCACTGGCATCAAAGGTACTCTCAGTTATTCTCAGTTTCTGAGACTATGGAGACTCACACAATAAGCAATTTTGGCGGGGGCGGGGTGGAACCTACCATCTTGAGGTGCTTTTTTCAGAGCTCAGCCTGGGTGCTATTTTAAGGAAGGAAACCTCTTCCTTTACAAGGTCAACTTCAGACATCGTCTTGCCTTGAGGATTTGTGTCAGGTCTGTAGTTGGTCCCTTCCCATAGTCCAGTTTAGTGTTATCTCAGTATGTTCATGAGCTCCTGTGCCTAAGAATGCTGAGGTTTGGGCCAAGGCAGGTGGAAGTTTTTGTAAAAATGGCTCACATGGCCGGGCGCAGTGGCTCACGCCTGTAATCCCAGCACTTTGGGAGGCCGAGGTGGGCAGATCACGAGATCAGGAGATCGAAACTATCCTGGCTAACACGGTGAAACCCCGTCTCTACTAAAAACACAAAAAATTAGCCGGGCGTGGTGGCAGGCACCTGTAGTCCCAGCTATTCGGGAGGCTGAGGCAGGAGAATGGCATGAACCCGGGAGGCGGAGCTTGCAGTGAGCCGAGATCTGGCCACTGCACTCCAGCCTGGGTGACAGAGCAAGACTCCGTCTCAAAAAAAAAAAAAAAAAGACTTGGTCTCAAAAAAAAAAAAAAGGCTCACAGATGTCCCCCATAGGATAACTGCAAGATATTCCCAACACTTTGGCAAAAATTATACACAGATTGGTGTGTAGGAAAGGGTTTAAAAGATCTGGGCAAAACTTAAGCAAAACGCGCCCTGCTACTTCTGTCACCGGTGAGCCAAGTGAGGGCTTAATTAATCCAGTACTCAATAATTAACCCCCTACTACCCAGTGGATAACTCAAAGCAAGACGAAGTTTTGGTTATACTTTTGAAGTCCCTGTCTTATAAGAGCTCCCCACTTTCCTGCTGCTACTCCTTTGTCCTTGCTGCTGTGTCTCCTGGGATAGATACCCTTTTCACTTTCCTCAGCTGATCCAAACCTGACTTTCTCAGGCCCACATAGGTTTTCCACCTTTTAGTAAGGTTTTCTCAAATCACTCGAGCTTCAGTAGGCCTTCTATCCTTGAACTCTTGCTTCTTGTCCTAACTTAAATCTACTAAACAAGCTTTGTGATCAATTGCTCAGGTATTATTGCCTCCAACTGTTATGTGTACATTTTGTACCCAGGATTCCTTAATAGATCTTTCCACAATTTGGCCTCAATCTTTTTCACCTGTCCCTTCTCCAAACACCTCAAACCCTGTCACATTTTCCAGCCTTGACAGCTAAAACCCCCCTTTCCACATCACTAATGCCACTCTTCAAGATCAACGCAGGCGTCAGCTCTTGGAGGTCAACATCCCATTTCCGGGGTTAGGCGTGAAGGTGCCTTCACTCTTAAGGGGCTGGAAGGATGGAAAGCAACAAGATAATCAACGCCCAAGGCACAGCCACCGTCCCAAGTACTCGTCACACAATACGACCACTGTTTCCTGAACAAACTTTTCTTACACATGTGACAGTCCCGATGCCTGCAATGCTGTTTGTTTCTTCCTTTTTATTCCAGCGAACCCATAGTCAGTCTACAAATCTTAGGTCTCAAGTCGCTTCCTGTAGGAGGCCGCCTCCAAACCTTAGGCTGAGCGCGGTCCCGGTACCCACCGGGGATCTCATAGTTCCCTAAGCACAGAGCATGGCACCAACTAGGGAGCCTGTCAAACAGCCCAGATGTATGTCTTTCCAGACACGCAGTGCCTGCGTTTCCCGGGACAGGGACATGTCTTATCCATTTCTATACATTATAGCTTTGTAAACATGTATTTGTAAGGTCAAAGCGGGAAAATATTGTTCCTTGCTAGAAATGAGCCTCGCAGGCCACCACACCTTACGAGAGGCCGCCCCTCAGCCGCGGCTTCCGGCCTGAGGCAGGATGTACCAAACGTGGAAGCGGAGACGGGGAGGTCTGGGGTGCCAAGCAAGTCCCTTTCCCCCGACACAGCGTGCAGTAAAGAAAACGGTTATGAGCGTAAAGTGACAGCCTTGGCGGATGGAAATAGGGGGAAGTCCGACACTGAGCCACGAACGCATTCCCGCGCCTCCAAAACCTAGGCCGGGGGCGCTGCAAACCCTTACCGGTACGCGGCCCAGCGCGGCAGACGCTGCCTCCTGCCACGCCCCGCATCACGTGTCTGCACGCTCTTTCTCGGATTCCCGGATGTGGGTGAGTCCATTTGCTCGCGTGCAGGGGAAGTCTGGAGAAGACATTGATTCAATTATTAAAAGTGTGGGGGCAGTGGGCGGAACGAACGCGCCGACTGCTGAGGCTGGACGCAAGGTTAGTGGTGGCGCGCGTGCGCAGTGCCCGCCCGAGGTAACGGCGGGAAGGCTGAGGGGTGTGTTTGGTGCAGCCGTGTAACCGCCCGTGCGCTAGACGGAAGCGCAAGGGGCGAGCGCGTCCTGGTCTGGAGGCGGCCCAGGCTGACTTGGTGACTCTGGCTTCGCGGCCTCATGGCTTGCGGCCGGTTCGCGCAACAGTCTGCGAACCACCAGGCGCGTCCCCGCCGGCTCGCGTCCGCCCCGGAGCCCCGTCCCTCGGCCTGGCCCGCTATGCCCTGCACACCGGCGTAGTCCGGCATGGCGCAGCCCGGCGCGCGGTTCGGCCCCGCCAGGTGGTCAGCGTTTCCTCGGAGGCCGGGTGGCTGGGGGCGCTTCGGAGAGTGGCCAGGTGGGCGGGCGAGCTGCGCCCAGTACTCACCTTCCCCGGCGGACCCACCTTTCTTTTCAGCGGAGGGACCCCAGTGCGGCCTCCCTGCCAGGGCTGCTGTTTAGCTAGCGCTGTTAGGACTACTTCATTCACGGCACAAGGGGACCCGCTCATTTAGGGTGGCATGTTAAGGTTGGCAGCTTTTAAAATAGTGAGTTGGTGTAAACGGTTATGTTTAGTACAGCAGGTACGGAAATATGGCAGAAATCGTGGACTGAAATTGGAGAACCCTGAACTAACTGCTCCATGCGCACAGATCAGGGATAGAAAGAAATAAGGACGGTTTCTTAGGAACACTTTAATCATGGAGATACTTGAAGACAGTACATTTAGGCTTATAATGTTTTTTTTTATGTCGTTTACGACATCAGGAGAGTAAAGATGTGTATGATGTCAGAGACTTGTCATCTTGTATAGTTTAAGCACCGTACACTAATATGCACAAAGTAGTTTTCCCTGAGCTTTATGTCCGGTTAAACTTATTAAAAGAATTTATTCTTTTATAAAGCAGTATTGTAGGGTAGATGCTCTGTATTTATACAGTTCCTCACGTGCTTGCGTTTATTTTTTAGATAAGAGAAAATCATAAGGATCGTTGATTAGATTTCTGTTAGCTGTAGCTTAATAGTAAAGTATATATATTTTCTTATTTGGAATGCAGTAGCATTTTTAGATTAATTTTTGAGATTGCCTTTTGACTGTGGCATGATCAGTGATCAGGGTAGTAAAAAAGGCTCTGAAACTAAAATGGGGTAGAGATTTATAAACAGGCACACTGCCTTTTAAAATGTATGTAGATGCAACTCTAAAAGTTGTTTGTAAAAATTGTATATGTTGATTGTACTGATGCCATTTTCTCTCTTTAAAAGGTGGAATGCCTTTGCTTAGTCCTTTCTGTTCTAATTTACGTTGTGCTGGCAGATCGTGACAGCATCAGTATTCCACTCTGTCATTGCTTCCTGCTTTCAAAAAATGTCAACTTGACTTGGAATTCAGCTAAAGCCAACGTTGACACAAGGTTTCAGGAACTGAATTTCCGATCTTTATGTTATTTTAGTCCCCTGCCCGCCCCCGTCAGGAGCTAGGTTTTTCAGTTTTGCAAAGCCACACTACTGTCATTACACATACACAAATTAATAAAAATTCTCTAATGTCAGTGTCCAGTCAGATTACGATTTCTTCAACTCTCTCTTAAATGTCTTTTTTGCAGTTAGCTTGTTTGAACCAAAATCCCACAGGGATCTGCCTGTTGTGTTTGGGTGATGCACATTTGACATCTTTTAATCTATAGCAGTTCCCTCATAGCTACAGCTATGGGATTAGCCCCTATTTTTCCTTACAGTTCTAAATTTAGCAGATTACATTGCACAGTATCCTTTAACAGGTATCTCTGTTGCCTTTATGGCTTCTAAACCAGGGGCCCCCAAACCCGGGGCTGCAGAGCACTACCAGTCCGTGGCCTGTTAGGAACCAGGTTACAGAGCAGGAGGTGAGTGACAGGCGAGTGAGCATTACCTACCACCTGAGCTCTGCCTCCTGTCAGATCAGCTGTGGGGTTAGATTCTCCTAGGAGCATGAACCCTAATGTGAACTGCGCATGCAAGGGATCTAGGTTGCATGCTTATGAGAATCTGACTAATGACTCATGATCTGAGGTGGAACAGTTTCATCATGAAACCATGCCCCTAACCCTTGCCATGTGTATTATTCATATTACTGAAGAAGTGGTTGGCCGGGTGCGGTGGCTCACGCCTGTAATCCCAGCACTTTGGGAGGCCGACGCGGGCGGATCACGAGGTCAGGAGTTTGAGACCAGTCTGGCCAACATAGTGAAACACTGTCTCTACTAAAAATGCAAAAAAATTAGCCGGGTGTGGTGGTGTGCGCCTGTAATCCCAGCTACTCGGGAGGCTGAGGCAGGAGAATCACGTGAATCCGGGAGGCGAAGGTTGCAGTGAGCTGAGATTACACCGTTGCTCTCCAGACCAGGCTACAGTGTGAGACTGGATCTCAAAAAAAAAAAAAATAAATAAATAAATAAAAAGTGGTTTGGCCATTCCTCCCCCAAAACATTTCATATGAATGTTAACAAAAAGATATTTACAAAATTTTTTATTTCCACCCTGTCCGTGTTGAAAAATTTTCTTCCGTGAAACAGGTCCCTGGTGCCAAAAAGACTGGGGACCACTGCTCTAAACCGGTAGTTAGATGTAGAATTGCACTGTCCAGTATTGTAGCCACCAGCCAACTGTGGGTAATTAAAGTGAAATAAAATTAAAAATTCAGTTCCTAGGCTGGGCGCGGTGGCTCATGCCTGTAATCCCAGCACTTTGGGAAGCCGAGGCGGGCAGATCACGGGGTCAGGAGTTTCGAGACAAGCCTGACCAACATGACGAAACCCCGTCTCTACTAAAAATACAAAAATTAGCCGGGCGTGGTGGCAAGCGCCTACAGATTGCCTAGTGGCTACTTTTTGAACAGTGCAGTTATAAAAGTTTCATAATTGCAGAAAGTTCTATCGAGCACACTGCTTTAGAAGCCTGATCAGATTTCACCTTTATATTTGTTTTTGTTTTGTTTTTTGGTGGGGTAGTTGGGGGGTTGGGCAGAAAATTTCATAGGTAATGCAATATACTTCCTATTTCATTAATTTTCAGGGAAGCAGTGTCTTGAGGTTTTTTTTTTTTTTTTAAATGATGTTAACATTAAACATTATTTTGAGTTTAGGTGTAGTTAGCTCCATCCACCCATAATGAAATTCCCCAAGATTCTTTCACTTAATGGTGAAGTTCTTTTGTGGGGTTATAATGCCTGTATCCGTTACTGCATTAGAGATGCAACGTGGTGATTATCTATTTCTGTTGTTTCTTCAGTATTTGTTAGCTGAGAGTCTTTTATGAAAACTTTCCCTTACCAGCTGTTTGACTACCCTGAAATACAATTTACACAGGAAAGGCAAGAAAAATGCTTAATTCTTTCCCTCTATTTTCAGACCACAGTAATGAGTTGGTGGCCTAGCAACCTCCAAAGGTAACCATGAGGGTTTTTGTCTTTTTGTAAACCTATCATCATGAACTTATAGACTTTATAATATATTTAAACTGTTTCAACATATGGCAATTGTGTTTTTAATGCTCAAATTGTTTCATCTTTGGCCAGTGGGAGCTCCTTAAAGTTGGCTCCTGTTCCATTTGATATGACCAATAGCTTTGTTAATTTCCTTGCTTTCTGATAAATAATTTTCCTGGCTCATTTATAGATTTCTGGTCTCCAAAGAACCCTGGTTCTTTTGAGTCTGAGATAGTATTTGGAGACCACAGTCTATCTAGGTAGGAGAAGTGTTCTTGCTACTATGTTAATCATTGGTTCTAGGATTTATAGTGGCCAGAGCTAGGAAATATACATTAAAAAAACCACAAATATGCAGAGTTCACATTGTTTCCAACATTTAACATTTAAATTTCCAAAATTTAAATTTAATTTTTCAGTTTTTTCACGTTTGATTTATGTTTGTATCTTTTTTGCTGAATCTTGGTACCTAGTGCCATTAATAGAATTAGTTTTTTTCCTCATCCTATGTTATATATAATGGTTTCAAGTTAACAGCCTATTTTTTTATCAGTATGATTCCTGAACAGTGCTTAGGATTTCTTTGCAATTCTCTTTTATCCTTATTTTTTATGTCTCTAGGGAAGTGTATAGTAAAATTATTGTATTTTAAAGGCATATGAAGTAATTTATTGTGTAGTTAGCCTGTCAAATTGATATCTAGTTGGTAGTTGATTTATTTTATTTTGTTTCCAATTTTTCAGTACTGCTTTTTTCCCCATTTTGATTTGTTTTATTATATGCAAAACCTAGCATAATTCCCATAAAACAAGTACCCATAAAACAAGAACTCATAAAACAATTTAGCTTTCATCTCTGTTTCTTCCACTCTGGTTATTTTCCTTCCTTACAGGTACTGTTTTTACTAGTTTTGGGTCTATCCTTCCATTAAAAAAACACATACCTAAAAGCAAATATACATGGACAAACACACCTTTCTTTCTTAGGTAAAATGTGTCATTCTGTATACTGTTTCCATCTTGGGTTTTTCACCTAGTAATATATGTCCTGTAGATCCCCTCCGTAGGAGTATGTAGAGATTGTTATTCCTTTTTACAGTTTCATAGTACTCCATTGGTGGATGAATATTTAACTTGTCCCCTCTTGATAGACACTTGTGTTATTTTCTGCTATTACAAGTAGTCCTGCAGTGAATATCCCTGTGGATATGTTGTTTTGCATTTTTGCCAATGAGCCCATGGGATAGATTCTTAAAGGTAGCGTTGTTGGATAAAAGGGTAAATGCCTA